AAATGGCGAAGAATTTTTGGACGCACAGAAACTTCAATTTGGACTCTTAATCTTAAGCTAACTCTTCGTAAACTCAATGTATCGAACTGAAATTTTTATTGTCAGGTGTTCAGCTCGACATACACCTTCACTGAAAATTGCATCAAGATTGTATGCTTGGAAAAAAGAATTTCATTTTTGTAGAGGTTCTTTAAAGACAAAATATTCGATATTCCGATTAAAATAGTATGTTTATTTACAATTTTATTTGAGAGAACTCAAACATCTTGAAATATTTCTATTATGTATAGCTTTGAAAATCAATAAATTAACCTGAAATAGTTCAAACTACCAGTGCTTAAAGGCTATTCCTAGTCTGAAATGATTATTTGAAAAGTTCTATATTTCTACTTGATTTGAATAATTATTTCGGGAGTAATTTTTCTGATTCATTAATGAATAAAAAAAAACGTATATTTAAAACGAGTCTCTTACTGCTTCTGCTTCGTTTGTTTTTAATGAAACTATTCTTTGTAATTCTTCAATTTGTTGTTCATATTTATTTGCCATTGATGGATCATTAATCGACTAATGAAACAAACGAAAATAAACTTATCTAAACAAAAAGGAAAAAAAGATATAAAATATTTCTACAAACTTGAAATTGTTCCAAACGAATTTCTGATTGTTGTAATTTTTGTTGTAATTTTATTATTTCATTATTTAATTGATCATTTATATTTTGTCGATTATTAACTTTTCCATCTAATTCATTTAAATTTTGTTTTAGATCTTCGATCATTTGACTACAATAAAAAAAAAATGCAATTTTTTTTTAACATAAAATCTATTTGAATATTGAACCTTTGACGAATATTTTCTGTTTTAAGTCGATCAATTTCTTTATCCGATTCTTTAACTGCCTAAAGATAGAAAAAAAAAGATACATGGAAGAATAAATAAATGAATATTTAATTTAATTAAAACCATTTCTCGTTTGTGTGCATTAAATGTTGAATTTTGTGTTTGTTTTTCAAGTTCTTCAACACGTTCACGTGATGCTTTTAGACGTCCTTGAACTTCATCCATTTCATTTTGTTTTCGTTCGAGTTGTTTTACGGATTGACTTAATTTAGCTGATAAATCAGTTTTTTCTGCTACTAAAATACCAATTGTTTGAACATGAATCTAATAATTGATAAGAACCAAAAAAAAATTATTAATCTTCAATATTAATAATTAAAATAAATCCTTACTTCAAGTTGTTCTTGTAAATGTTCAAGATCACGACGATATTTATGTTCAATTTGTCGTGCAAAATCCATATCAGGTTGAGTTTGACTTAAACGACCAGACTAAACAAAAAAACAAAAATTCAAAAAATAATTTGTATTATTAAATTTTCTTTTGCAAAAAAAATGATTACCATACTACTTCCAGCATCAAATTGTCGTTGATCTTCGAGACGAGCTCGTTGTTGTTTTTGATTTTCAATTAATAAAACATATTGACGATTTTGTTCCTCAAAAATATATATATTAGTAAGTTTCATGCAGATGAAATATAAATATTTCTATAACTTACTTCTAATTCAAGAACAGGAGATTTTGTTAAATTTTCATGCATTCCATTAAGTATAGCTTGTTGTTCATTAACAAACGTAGATACATCTTGTGGTATCGTACGAGATCTAATAAAAACAAATGTTTTAAATAAATGGAAGATATGAAAAAAATAATAATAATAAACTTACGTGTTAGGGTAATTGATAATAGATTCACTAGATGTCTAGAGAGAATCAAGAAAAAAGAATTTTATTCAGGAAAACTATGTTTGAAAAGAAAAAATCTTACTCCATCGATACCATTTGTGTCTGCAGTGAAGGTCAAATGATCATTACCATTTTGTTGTTGTTGTCGTTGATCGCGAAATTTTTTTAACTAATATATTCAAATAATTAATATAAAAGAATAATAAATAAATAAATATACTTTTCGACGAGCATTCGCCAAATTTTCTCGTTTTTCATTATCAACCATAATTTTCGTCGTTGAATATACGAGGAATAGTGATCATTCACTAAGGTAACATGAATAAACAAAATGGAATTAGTGAAGTAATCACTCTCAAATGAAGGTTCGAGCTATCCGATTTTATAAAAGGGTAGAGAAGCTGACGCGTAGAGAGTGTGTCTATCAATCAAATCAATTCATGAGTTTTTGGTACTTGTTGGATTATAATAAAGTACGTGCTGAAAAAAACAGCATCTTAATGACAATAGATGTCTCTATTCATCGAAGACGATTCCAATAGATTATTACACATTTTTTTTTCAGGGTCTAATAATATAAAGTAAAATTTATAGATCGTTTCTGATTAAGATGAAGCTATGATTGTATACATTAGAAAAAAGTGTGCAGTTTTTAGCCACCTGTCAGACACAGCGATATATTCCAGTGATATTTTTCATGACCTTGCTTTGATAATTTGATCTATACAGAATAACAAAACGATTGCATATAAATCCAAAAAAAACAAATTTATGTGTTAACTTTGATCGTTCTGCATAGCAATATGAATATCAGTTTGAAAGACAAGTTTTCTGTATTTGTCTAAGTCATCTATTAACTGATATCGAAAATTGAAAAAAAAAATTTTCGAATATTTTTTAAAATGATTTGACCAATAAACATGTAATAGTATTGTTCAATATATGATAATCAATAGACTTCATAATATTTTATTGATAGAATCTAATATGACAACTATGTGATATTTTATTGATGTTTGTTTAAGCAACATTTCGTTGTTCAAACTAAAAGTTCAGCATTTTCACAAGAACTCATTTTTACTTTTAGAAGAGATAACCTTCTGAAATACAAATTGAACGAAGTCAATCCGATTTTCCAAAGCATATTTGCAACATCGTGTTAATGCTGTAATTTTATCGTAAAAATAAATATTGATATGATAAATCATGCTGAAGACTATTGTATAGAAGATTCTTCAGTCAGACAGATCACATTCGAATATCAGCTAGAAACGATGAGCATATTGAAATCTGCATCATAAAAAACAATAATAATTTTTATATTATAAGTGTATAATAGAAGTTAGATTATTAGTATGATAGATGATTTCTTAAAGTATATCTGGTTTATTTGATAATTAAACTGACTAAGGGCCTCAAAAATGAACAAATTATTACACACTGCTATAAGTTTTTGCATTGTCCATTATAAATAAGTGAATATTGCATATTTTTCAACAGCACACTAGTAATAGACATATTTCATTTATCCAAACATTCACATAGGTACAAAATAATGAAAGGAAAATATTCGATTTGACTACGATAAGTACAAAAACATAATCAACGTATATTGAGATTGAAGGTACCTCTGTATGATTTTATACTTTGTTTTTTTTGCACTTTCGTTTATGAGTTCAACATTTAGATAAAAAATAAAAGTTATGCTGGATTCTTATGCCAAGGAAAACATCATCCTTAATCTCGGATAGTCTCTCTAGCTCAAATAGACAATCTTTGCTTATGATTACTAATGAACACCAAGCAAGAACAACTCTTATTTGGTTTGAGGTAAATATCGGTTCAAGAAAATGTATTGAATATACAAAAAAAAGAACCAATGTCATATTTCAAACCACTTTACAAGTATGGATCACATTCATTCAATCAATTGGCAGGGTAAAAATTTATTTGAAATCATGTTTAGATCTCACACCTCACAATTATTACTATATGTGAAAAAGTTACAAAAGATTTAGTCAAAAATGCTGCCTAGTTTATCTGATATTCGTTTTTCAATTATGTCATTTTATGTCTTCCACTTAATCAACTAACAATACAACCAATGATTGATGAATTCGAGCATGATTACCGATTAGACGCAACTATTTGTTGCCATTCAAAATAATCATTTGTCAAGAGATGGATGAATAGAATATTGAAAAATAAAGACATTGATCAGTTACATTCATTTCACTTTCTTTTTTTTTCAATAATTTATCAGAAAACCTGAGACATAAACATGAATAGATATTGTAGTCAATAGGTTGAATGCTGTCTGTTTAAACGAGGAGTGTGAAACTAGATAGATAAGAATTCAATAAATTATAAGAAAATGTAAATAAACTAATGTTCATGAATAGATATTTATTAACAGAGTGAAGCCGCTCACAGATGCACTTATTTGTAATCTAATCAAGGGGGAAACAGCAGACTTTTGTACTTCAAGTACTTGGCGCTACTTTGCGCTACTTTGAACTGCTTTGAGCTACTTTAAGCCTACTTCTAGTGGAGTACTTTGAAGTACTTTTCAACTTCAAATTTACTTGAAGTTACTTACAATTACTTCAAGCTACTTCAAGCCTGCTTCAAGTAAAGTACTTTGCCGTACTTTTCTACTTCAAGTCTGCTGTTTCCCCCTTGTGTGTCCCTCGCTTTTGCCGAAGGCACCTTGGGAGCAACCGATATGGTCGGTATCCTTTTTCAAATGACAATAAATCCTACTGTCTCATCGACTCCGTTTGCCTCCATTCAGGAGATCAGTTATTTCAAGGACGAAGAAGAAATTCTCTTCTCGATGCATACAGTTTTTCGAATTGATGAAATTCGAAAGCTTGATAAGCAAAGTCCACTTTATGAAGTGGATCTGAAACTTATGTCTAATGATGACCAACAACTTTGTCAATTAACCGATCGTATACAAGAGGAGGTCGACGGCACTGGTTGGTATCGAATGGGTAAATTGCTGCCGATAATAGGCCAATTTGAGAAGGACGAAGAGTTGTATAACGCACTATTCGAACAGACATCCAGCGACAGTGATAGAGCATATATCTATCACGAGCTAGGAAGAGTAAAATGGCACCAAGGTCAATATGAAAACGAAATTATGTTTTACGAAAAATTCTTCGAAATCTATCGAAAAACTCTCCTGGAAGATCATTTAAAATTGGCTAATACCTACCACAACATCGGTCTTGCGTATCACAATATGGGTGACTACTCGAAAGCTCTAGAATTTTATGACAAATCACATCAAATTCTAGAAAAAGCTCTGCCACCGACTCATCCAGATTGGGCTACTTCCTACAACAACATCGGTCTGACGTATAACAAGATGGGTGTTTACTCGAAAGCGCTTGAATTTTACGAAAAAGCACATCAAATTAAAGAAAAAGCTCTGCCTCCGCATCATCCTCATTTGGCTAGTTCATACAATAACATCGGTGGAGTGTATAATGACATGGGTGACTACTCGAAAGCACTTGAATTTTACGAAAAAACACATAAAATCTACCAAAAAGCTCTATATCTCCCAATCATCCCGATTTGGCTACTTCCTACAACAACATCAGCTCGACGTATCATGGCTTGGGTAATTACGCAGCAGCTCCTAAGGCTACTACATATGCTTTTCAAATTAGACAAAATGCATTTCAAGAAGATAATCTAGCTTTTGCTTTTACATACAACTGGTTTGGAAAGATTTATCGCAGTATGAAAGATTACTCAAAAATACTAGATTATTTTGAAAGGGCCCTCGCAATATTTCAACAAATGTTACCTGAAAGGCATCCCAATCTGGCTATTATATACAGTAATATTGGTGATATTCATCGATTAATGGGTGATTATGAAAGGACACTCTCGTTTCATCGAAAAGTATTAAATATTCAAGAGAATGTTCGATGTAATCCTCTGGAATGTGCAACAACATATACAAATTTAGATGAAACATATCGAGAAATGAAAGATTATTCAACGGCATTGACATATTTCGAAAAAGGATTAGAAATACGTTAAAAGAACATACCAAAAAACCATCCTGATGTAGCTGTAATCTATCATAATATAGCGAAATTATATTTGTCCACTGGAAAATATAGTATGACAATGAAAAGTGTTCAACAAGCGGTAGAAATTGCTCAAGAAAAATTGTCTTCAAATCATCCTCATCTTCTGGTCTACAGAGAGACACTCGAAAAAACTCCAAAGAAATTGTAAAGTTTCTTTCTTGTCTGCTCAATAAATTTGTTCGCATTGCTATTCACTTTCCTTTTTGGCTTTTCTCAGCTCATTATCGCGTACGCGCGCGTGACCAGGGAGACTCCTTGTAAGCCTAATATGGGTACATCCACAGCGGACCACGCCAGATTGGTTGGGCAATAAACGTAGGTATGACATAAAATAACGACGACAGAGGCCTACAAACATAACGGCCTTGCCGAGCACTACACTGCTTTGCCATAACAGGGACAGAAAATCCTCCTGAGTAAGGTAATGAAGCAACCTGACAGACTGTGATATAATCTACTACTGCACAATAACCCAGCTTTTACCAAAAAAACTAATTTAACATCCAAAAAAAACATTTTTTTCATTTTTCTGTATTAGCATTAAAAAATACATGCATGTAATGTGTTTAAAGAAAAAACTATTCCATCCAGAATAGATGACATATCCACCTTATCAATAAAAATTATTCCTAGAAGTCATATTGGCCATTAAGACTTCTAAATTTTATGTCTTCTCTCAATTTGAAACAGAAATTAACTTAGTTTAGACTATTCTATTAGTTTGTTTCTTCTGAATATAATAAAAATTTAAGGAAGATATCTTCCTTGCTTTTTGTATTTGTGATGTATATTACATTATTCATTATAATTTAATATTGGGTTGGAAAGAAAGTTTTTGCGTTTTTTTTTAAATTTCCTAGAACAGTCAAGAAAGTTCTAGAAGTTTCCATACTAAAGGTATATAAAGGGGTACGAATATCTTTCGAACAACAACAAAACTATGGATACGGACGTTGATCTTGAATTAGAAATGAAGATATCTCGTAGAGAGCTCCGAATGCTTCTGCTTCATGAATTCCGTTTGGACTACAAAGCAACGGAAGTAACAAGCAATATATGCAGCATGATGGGCAAGGATACGTTCTCCATTCGTACAGCGCAACATTGGCTCAATCGGTTCAAAAACGATAACTTCGAACTCGACGATTTACCTCGTTCCGAAACATCATTAAAGGTGGATATTGATGTTTTAAAGCAGCTTATCGAAGAAGATCCTATATTGACCACACGGTGTTTAGCAGAACGTCTTGGGTGCTCTCGTACTACAGTGGAAACACATCTGAGCGAATTAGGCAAAGCTTGGAAATATTGAGTTTGAATGCCACATGATTTGTCATCACATCAGCTTCAACACAGAGTTGACGCATGTATGGAATTAATGACGTTTCATAGCAACTACCAATGGGTCCACAATCCTATTACTGGCAATGAAAAGTGGGTGTTGTATGTTAACCACACGCGCAAGCGGCAATGACTGGGAGTTGGACAAACAGCTGTAGCAACACCCAAAGATGACCTTCATCCAAAGAAGATTATGGTGAGCGTCTGGTGGAGAGTAAGAAGAATTATCCATTGGGAACTTCTTCCAACTGGTTGCACCATCACTACTGATTTCTATTGTCAGCAATTAGACCAAGTTGCAGCAAAACTCCAAGGGAAGCAGGATAGAATTGATTTTTTGCATGACAATGCCAGATCTCACATTGCAAAATCGACGCGTCAGAAATTATTGGAGCTCGGATGGGTTACGGTTCCACATCCACCTTATTCTCCAGACTTGGCTCCTACGGACTACCATTTGTTCCGTTCTTTCTCTAACCATTTGCGCGAGAAGAAACTCTGACGACAAAAGCGACCTCGAAATGGACCTCGCTAACTTTTTCGGCCAAAAGTCCCAGGATTTCTACGAACGCGGGATCCTTTCGCTACCAGAGCATTGGCGACAAGTCATAGATAGTAATGAAGCATACATTGTTGAAAGCTAGTTGTGTTCTTTAAGTTAAAAATTTTTTTTTAAATTTTCGAAAAAAACGCAAAAGACTTTCTTGCCAACCTAATAGGTAGTTAGTTTAGTTAAATTTTGTTACTCGAAAAAAAAACTTGCTGTTATTGCTTGTAAAATTTGTACTTATATCTATTCATTATTTTTACCTTTTTTTATCACACATTTCTAATAAATATTCTATTAATGGACTATCATCATCATTACGTGACATTTCCTATTGTAATGTTATTGATTAATCTTTTCTAGTTGTAACATTAAATTTAGCTGATGATTCAGGTACATCGATTTTACATCTTAATTTAACTAGTTATTCTAATTTTAATGATTAGCCTTCAGAATTTTTAGAATATATTTTTATTAAAAAAGAACCTTTATTAAGTAAATCTTTTATTGTAAATTGACATATATCAACATTGACATACCCATTCTATATACGAAGATAAATTAATACAACAAAACTTTTTTGTCATGAATAATTTACTTTAAGCCACATTGGTCTTAATACTGTGCTGTCATCACTTAATGATAGTTCCCATCAACATTCAATTGAGTTGGATGAAACAATTTTTGTTAATAATGACCATCCTGTTGATATATCTGAGCGTGTATATGCACTTTTAGCAATAATCGGATCAATTGTTGTTAATGTTAGTAAGATTCCAACACAATTTCTGCATCTACGTGAAAGTAATGTGCAACATGAGACTAGCTCACCATCAAAACCACCGTTTTGCGGAACTTTCTGAGGATGCATGAAAACTCATATTGAAGATTCAAAAACCTTTGTATTATCTCTAGGAAAGAATCACCTGAATATAGTTAGAACGAATTTCTAGCGACTTGCCGCACTCTCGAACATCGCAATCCAAAGTACGGTTTTTATTACAGCAGAAAAAACGTAAAGAATGGAGACCGAATGCGTACACGACCGTTTATATACATGTTATGCTTCGCAACGCATTAATAAATGAAAACAGTAGACTGCTTGATTCTAAGATGTGTTTTTGATTAGATTTTATTAATGCATGTGGAAAAAAATAATGATCATGTATCATTCATATAAAAGTTTGAGAGATAGAAAAATGACAATTAATTGAATCATATTGTTTTTTTTTGTTTGGTTTCGAATATAGATACGTAAACTATTATTTCTCCGTATTTATTGAAAGACTTCAACAACTATAGAGCAGATAAATCATTCTTGATTGAAGTTGTTTCATGATTCAAGAGAAGTCAAAAGTTTTGAGAATGATTTTTTTTAAATGAAACTTATTGTTGTACATTAGTATTATTCTAGACTAGATTTTATTGAAAAAAATTTTCTCTTAATATCTTTCTGATAATTACAAAAATCTTTCTAGGATTTTAACATTCGAAAAAACTTTTCTTTTATACATTAAATTAATTGACATATCTAGAAAACAAAATATTACTATTAATAAAGATTTTCTTTAAGTATGCATAAAATAAAATGTTATTTTTTAATGTCAAATATTTTCTATGCTACTGTTTTCTCATGATGATAGACTAAACTTATTGAAAACCTATCCCTAGTCGAACTTTTTCTCATGTGTTTGACATGTACAAACTTCAAGATCTGCCCATACCACAAAACTTTCTTGCTCAAAATGCTCAAAAACTTCATGATCATGGAAAAAAAATGTTCGACTAGGAATATTTATTACAGTTTTATGCAGTGTGATAACCAAGGCTGGACGCCACCCTATCACCACCAAAGAGAAAAGCGTAATAGTTTTCAGTGTTTTATGTATTAATGTAAGAAAACATGGTTGAACAGTAAACGATGATGTTATTATTTTGTAAAAATAAATAAAAAGCTCATAGATGATAAAAGACTAAACCAAACAAATAAGAAATGCTATCAGATGTTCTTTTCATTTACGTATATTTAATTCATGTTTATCTTATGATGCTTATAGTTATAGCAGAAAGGCAATCGCTATGTCAACAGCAATCTCCATAAGATGGCGCCATTATACGATAAATCTATCTGTTAAAATTTTCGTTGTATATCATCATATTTATAGTTATATATTACTCATTTTTGCATATTTTTCTTTTGTAATTTTCACAAATTTATATCATGACTTTTTATAGAGACCAAAGTATCTTTTTAATGTTTCTTGGTTTTGTTTGTTGATGATTGATCGGTTATTCTTCCTCTTCATCTAGGATTTTCTTTTTGTTTATTTGTCGTTCTGTCAGTGGTCAAAACGCGCATATTGACCGTATATTATTATCTTTTCAGAAAAATTGTTTTCTCTAAACAAATAAAAAGAAAAAAACATAAAATGTCATCAAATAGTGCATCTCCTGTTGCAACTGAATCGAATGGTCTATCATTGTCAGGTATCTCATCAATTTCAACAACAGCATGTGATGATCGAACATGTTCAACAGCTAAATGTGCATTATGTCTTCACTGTTCTCAACAATATTGTTTTGTTCATTTTCTTAAACATAATGAACAATTATCACTTAATGCTTATAATTTTACATTAGCTATTGATCAACTTGGTAAAATTAAATTTATCTTTATTTATTATAAAATTTTATTTTATATATTGAATAGAAGATCAAATAAAAAATTTAAAATTAGATGAATCACTTCGTCGAACAATACATTCCCTTGATCAATGGCGTAAGAATTTAATACGAACTATTGAATATGTTTATCAAGAAAAACTTTCATCCATAAAATCAAATTATATACAATTAAGTAATTATTTACAACAATTTCAATTTGAACAATCATCACATATACAAGCATTAAGAATTGATCTTGAACAAATGAAATTTATTCGTAGTACCTATGGTTTGTTCTTATTAATTTTTTTCTTTTTGTGCACGAAAACAACAAAAACTGAATGAAGAAATCTTTTGTAACTCTTGCTTTTTTTTCTTTAAGACCAAGAAATGGA